CGCGCGGCTGCCTGGAATGGCCTTAAGCTGTGATGATGTTCGCGGCCGAGCGGGTCTGCTAATAGCCTCCTAATTGGCACGGCTAAGCGAACATGTTGACATTTGCTGTGTGTTCACCATCCGGGACCCCGCTTTAGCCATTATGCTAATCCAAGCATTATATATCCACTGGTATTAATGGGACTGACACAAGTGATGTTACAGGTAAAGGGCTGTGAAATGGTCTGTAAACAAGCACGAATTGATTCCAAGGCTGAGGCGATTGTCGCTAATGCCAACTCTCCCATCCCTACACGGCTCCTCCTCCCGCCGACAAGATCCAGTCAAATTGCCTCGGACAGGCTTCAGCGCAGGCCTGACAGGGGGCATCAAAAAGGCACCTTAAAGCGCTGTGAAAAGCCGTCTGCTTACAAAAATGAGATAAGATCATGATCAATACAGTTTACCCCCCTCTCGTCTAACGCCTACCACCGCCGTCTATCCACTGAGAGAAGGATCAAAATCGGCTTCATTTTCTTGGGTGGAGGGGCGAGCTGTCATACGCAGGACAGCCTTATTTTACACAGACATTGCTTTTGAAGGACTGGGGACAGAACAGAGGCAGCGGCAGTGGCCTTATTGGCAGTGAGTTTGGCAGCAGGGTTGACGGATGTAGTCGTACTTGTTGGGAATATATTTTGGTGCTAACTCTAACATATGTATTGGTGAATATTGTAAAATGTGTGTGAAATGTAGCAGTCATATGTCAAGATTGTGGGCTTTGTTGTACTGTATGCAGATATAACCAAATTTCAAGTGCTACTGAGATTTTTATTTGCAAATATTCAAATATAAAAATTTGTTAGTGTTGACACGATTCTTAATCGTGTCAACGGGCGGCACGGTGGCTGAGTGGATAGCACTCTCGCCTCTCAGCAAGAAGGTCCTGGGTTCGAATCCCGCCGGACCAGGGCCTTTCTGAGTGGAGTTTGTATGTTCTCCCCGTGTCTGCGTAGGTTTCCTCCGGGTACTCCGGTTTCCCCTACCACTAAAAATATGTACAATAGGTCTGGCATGCGCCTCCTGTTCGGCGACCCCGCTCCCATCTCCGTGTGGAGTGAGAGGACAATTGCCCAAAAATAACAATTGTAAACCGCTTTGTGACTCTAGTCTGTGAAGGGCGGTATATAAATAAAGATTACTTACTTACTTACTACTTAAAATTAAACAAACTCCATTTTGATACCAAACATAGACTTGATACCAGTTTTGATACCACAGTGCTATCTAAAAACTGTCTTTATTTATATAATTGGTAGAGGAAGTGTTTTACTAGTTTTGAGAAAAAAAGATTCAAAAACTGTTTGAAAACACTCCTTGAGCCCTTTGAGGCTTAGGGATGGACTTGGATGGATTTGAACATTTCACTCCAATGGTCATGTGACTATGGAAATGGAAATGTTTGGAAACTCGGAAATACTAGAACATCGTTAGAGTTTCATGTATTTCTATAATTCAATTTAAAATATTAAACAATAAATGATATAAACTCTGCAAAGTGAGATATTTTATTTCAGTCTTTCAGTTTGTTCATTTTCAAAATATAAATGTTTTGAAAGATATTTTATTTAGAGCCTAACAAGCTCTGGACCAATTATAATAATTAACACAAATAATGGCTTGATATAGCTAACTTTGCATGTAATGAGTCAGAGTTGATACTTTTGACAACCTTAATCATAGTTGCTAGTTATATGTCAGATGCCCATACAAGAAAAACAAGATTAATCAATATGGGTTTTATCTTAGTAAACACAAACTGAAAATTGTGGAAGCTTTTGACTGAATTATGAAATAACACTGTTAAAGCATATAACGAGGAAAAGTGACTTTGCCATTTCAAGTCAACATGGTCAATATAAAAATTCTACATGCCGATATAAAAATATACATGCATTATCACTAAATTGTTGCTCTGCAGCTTTCCCTTTATGGCTTGCAGAGGTTGCATGACCATAAGCCATTGCCTTTACAGCAGTTCAACTCTTTTGAGAAGCAGCCTCTACACCTTTAGGGATATCTTTGGATGTGTTTTATTTTGCAGGTTAATGTCCCTGTGCTGACCTGACCGTAAATAATATATGAAACATGTGAGCCCTGAACATAGCCTTAGATCCAAAACATAAAAGGCATTAGGGTGTTCAATAAAAGATAGCCAACAGTAGAGCTTCAACAATTCCACATCAGCTCAAATATGATCTAAAATATGTAATCCTTTGGCTAAATTATAACATTGTTTTATGGCTCATAAATAGTCAGAGGTGCCATGGCTTTAGTGAAGCAGCCTAACAGCTATCTTGTAACAACAGGGGGAGATGACCATCGGCTGTCATGTTCATTTAGCTGCGGATCTGCACACAGTCCAGAGAACAGGCAATAAAATCAAGCTTGCGCTGCCAGACTGTAATTGAATTACTCCGCTGTCCAGCCTTGTATTCATTTACTGTTGTGGAATCTGCTTGTAACAGTGAAATGAAATGTTTGGTTCATGTGCTCTCCGTCAGCAAGGATAGAGGACAAGGGAATGTCTTGAAAAGAAAATCTTTTTTACAGCTAAAAATAATCGTTTGCTCTATGCCTCAATGTCCTGATATCTGTCAATCCAGATGGCTAACACGGATGTCAAATAACCGCTCACTAACCAGATCTGTCAAAGGCACAAGGCCAATAATGGCCTGCCACCATGCGCCGGGCAGCAGCAGAGGAGAAAGCGGCGTTGTATAATAAATCTGCTGTATTCATGCAGGAAAAATTCTGCGTCTTCACTTTTTTTTCATGATAGGCTTTGAATACGCAGCCAGGGCTAATAAAAGATTGGCCTGTCATAATGAATCAGGAGGGCCAGTGTCGGCTATAGGTAGTGTGAGTCTTTGCTCTCATGTATCCATCTCGTACACCATCGGCCACTGCCACACGTCGACATGGTGAAAAGAGACTCGCACCCAATTCGGCTTTGAAATTAACTTTAGGCCTGCACACATGAGAAGGAGAGGTAGAGTTAGGAACAGCATGGCTTCATTTTCTTCCCGCTCGTACCTGGCCCCCAGAGGGACACCAAGACAGATTTGCATGCCACTTGCTATTCCCCACTACCTGCTGCAAATTTATTATTGTGGCAAGTCAGCTTCCCCAACAGCAACTTGAGAGGACTTTTCAAACCTAAATGGTGTCTGCAGGCGGTCAGGAGACACACACATTTTTTCCCTTCCACACGCGTACACAACAAGAGCCGAATCAAAAAGTAATCATGGAGATCAGAATACAGCTGTCAGCCAACGCAGAGTAAGAAGTGATGAAGACTGTTTGAGAGGCGAGGAAGGTTATGCACTTTTTTACATAAAGTTTGTTGCTTTGGATGGAGCTGCACACAACGGACATGGTTGTGGCTGTGACATGTTGCTAGCAAGCAACATTTATGGGACTGTGGATCTACCTGGACTGAGAGAAAGGCTGTATACTATGCTGCTGGAAACATATCTGACCTATGACTGTTTTCAGTGGTGCTTCTTTTTCAATGTACAAACTGGAAAGAGAAATGTTCCCGGCAGGACCGTACAGTCACCAACTAACAAATGTCGTACTCAAATCAAATCAAGGTATTGTGTACAAACGAGTGTTTGTAGAAGATTTCAATATCAAATTATTAAAGCAGTCAATAGTGAATGTAAAAAGAAAAAACTTTGTTCATGTTTTTTGTTTGTTAAATTTTATAAATGAAGATAAGTGCAGGTCTGTATCAACTTGTGTAAATACGCAAATATTTTCAGAGTAATAGCATGCATATGAAATTTAATTTCTTATACATATTTATTGGGCAACTAGATCATGATTTTGGGAATAGGGTAAGCTAAATTAAATAAGTTCTTCTTTTTTTTTTTATATGAAAATGTTCTTGTTTATATGATATTCCCCTTGTTGTTGCATAAAGACAGAATAGATAAATAACAAAAAAAATAAGTAATTTATATAATAATACTACTATAGCCTTTTTCATATGCATCATTAACTGCTGTTACAAACAATAATAGTTAGTAATCTTTTATTTACTGTATATAGCGCATTTTCCAGGTCACTCAAAGCGCTTATTTGTGATCATTATTTGTGGTATTACGCAAAATGTAGGTAAAGGTTTTCTCATACACAAATACATAATGTGGATTATTGAAAATTCATAACTTGTACTGTGTAAAGCTACAGAATACAGTAGGTCTTTGTTTTGAGGTGTTCAAGGTCAAAGGCATAAGGTCAGAGAGACAGACAGAGGGGGTGCAGGTCACTGATGGCCATTATCTTCCCTTTGTCCCCTGCACGTGATCACCATTCACCTGATTATCTATTATCATGTTATTGGACGTAACTTTAACAAGCTGTTGAGAGAGCTGGAAAATCAATACCTTTTAAATGCTGTTTATGTGTGATTAACGGTTAATATCCTCACAAATTATTTAATATAATAAGGTCATTCGTCTTTCACATGAGCGCGCTACCCTGCAAAGAATAATAGAATAATAAATGAGGACACTAGTGAAGAGGAGATTTCTGATGCTTTCCCCGGCTCCGTTTTATTACCCATATCCTCTTTACAGCTACAAAGCTGCACTATGGTTATTTTATGCAAGTCATAAAATTAGGCTGAGATGGAATTAGCAGACTCGGGGCTCTTTATAGGTCAAGCCGGTAGTTTATGAGCCCACGACTCCCTGGCACTATTGTCAAGAGGCTAGTTAGAGGGGTCTTTAAGCATGATTTAATATGTCCATGCCTTGGAAAATAGTTAAATAGCTAATTAAATGGAGGAGTTAATTTACATATTAATTGACCTTCTAGTAATATTTATATTGATACCTGCATGAGGAGCCCTTGTCTTCATTGCCTTTCATCATAGTTAGTCTGAGCAAATATGGTGTAACTTTTTTGTTCAAACTCAAGTTCCTCTTTCCCATTGCTGCATATTCCCAAGCATGGCGTGCGCACAGCTGTCCGGGCCTCTCGTGTGCGGCGGACCCCTTTTGTTGTTGGATAATGGAGGAAGCACCATAAACAGCAATGGGAAGTGGCCCGGGGGGGATATGGCAGGCGGAGGATGGCTCGTTGTGCTTGACAAAAGAGCGCGCAGAGGAGGAGGAGGTGTAGAGGACAGTGGCTGTGTCAAAGCTGCTCTTAATTATATCCATAATCACCCATCCGTCGACCGGCCGACTACACAGGACCCCCGGGGGCGCCACATTATCCACAACCTGTACGGGAGTAGCACAACATATCACCTGCAAGCCTCACAGGCCACGTAGACCACAAAATATGCACACGCTTGCACAATGTTGAAGCCAAACGCATCCTTGGAGGTCCAGCATTGTAAGAAAAACGGAATTGATATTTGAGTGATTGCGATTTGTAATTAACAATGGGTGCTATTAAGACCTCCATGAAAGCTATCTCCATGGGACGTGCAGATCACTGACCTTGTACAGACATATGGAAAAGGTTTTTGGCATATTTCATTCTAACAATCATGCACGAAGCAGTACTTTTTCTCCACATGTTTTGGTTATCTCAAGGTTGAAGCTACTGTCACAGTGGAAAATGCTGATTGCAGGTCCCCATTCCTCCATGCTGTATAATATCACATGCATGTTTGTGCTGTCTACCATAGACAATAAAACATGTCTTCTGTCTGAATTAAAGACAAAATCCCAGACTTTGTCATATTTTTCAGGTTGAATGTAACTTTTTTGCGTCAAGCGTCGCCACTTGATTCTCTCAGTGAAGATGTTGTGCAGGCATCGTGTTTACATGGCGAGCAGGAAAACCCTTTAGTTCAATTCAAATAGATTTTTCGAAATACATGTAAACCTGGTGATGTCAATTGAGGTGTCTGGGATTGATTATCCAGGATCTACATGTTTATGGAACTTGCACCTCGTTTTTGGTTCTGTAAAATCTAGACCAGGGCACAGATGTGTTTAATTGTGCTGCTAAGAATAAATAAACAAGAATAAATATCAACATTTTTACGGGCTGTAAAGACATGCCCTACTGCTTAACTAGATGTGTACATAGGAGAATGCATAAAAATCTCCAATTGTCCATAATTTCCCCCCAAATCGACTACAACTGCATTGGAGTGCAAAATACAGGAATATATGCAGAAAAGTCTAGGAAATGACGTATCTGTATGCTAAATAACATGAGTTCTACCTTGAATTTATTTGGTTTTTTTATACATACTAAATAATAATAATTTTAATAAACTACATTTAGGTCACTCACTCAAGGACAACAAAGTTAACACATTACCTCGGTTATGTTGCTTATCTATGTTGCCAAAAGTGTGGCTAGATTTAAGATATATATCAATTTACTCATGCAGCTTTAGAATACAGTAACTTATCTAAAATGACGAGATGTCTGTGAACATCACCCCAGTCGCATTTATTTGGCTCTTTGAACCGATGACCGTTTTGGAGGAAATAATGAATAGAGTTTGATTGTTTAGCGCAATTCTCTGTAAAGTAAAACATATTTTGCATCTAACCAACCATAACAGTCAGATCATAATTCAACCAGTACTTTCTTTTCCAAACAAACGTATAACAAACATTTAAAAACATTTAAAATGAAACCCGCGTATAGGTTCATCTTTATGTGAGATACTCAGCACATTCTCCGTGATAATAACGGGAGGTGCTAATGCGGCCCCAGCGTGTTGCATTGTCATGGTGATGTCCGCCCGGCCACAGAGCGGTGATGATGACACGGATCAGCGGTGATAGATCGTAAGCACATTGTTTGCTTTCTGCAGGAGGCGCGTCCGTTCTGTGCACAATGTTGTTAGCATGGTAAGTGTGTCCAACAGCCTATTATCGGGTTGATCATTTGTCACTAGCCTGTCTCCACTTTGTCTAACACATTCTTTTTGGATAATGACCCTTCAAGTGGATCTGCATTTGGGGCCTGCCTGGAACAAAGGCACTTGTGAATGGGCCTTTTCAAGTCGTGTAAACTGCGAATGTGGCTACAACAAACAAACAGAGCGGCTGTCCAGATGAATAAATAAATGTGTATGGGTATAACAGATTTTCAAAAGAAAAGTCAAGTGGTATCACCTAATAAGTTTTGTCTACAAGCTTGTATCTCTCTTCCATTAATCATGCCTCTTTAGCCACTGTCTCCTGCTGTTATGTACAATATGGCTGCCAGCCCAAATCCTTGATCAAGCTAAAGACCAGCAGCTGCCCAGTGGACCTCAGCGGCCATCAGCTACACCTCCGGCCCAACGGAATCATCAGTTATTGGAGAGAAGTACCCTGTCACTTTGTGCTGTTGCGGCCAAGTGCCTATTATCAAAGGATCTTGGATTTTCACATGAATGATATGTAGTAAAACAACTATGCCAATAGACTTTGTGGTCCCTAAACAAAATATTTGAGAATGGTTTGGATCTTTTATAACACTTTTCTTATAAATTTGGTCAAAGCTGAACTCCTCGATAGAACAGTCTGCAGAAGTCAGGGATTCAAAGGTATAAAATCACTTCCCCGCAGCAAAACTTTGTGTCTTTTCACCAACTATAAAATGTCCGCTCAAGTACGTACCACTAAACTTACTTATTGAGTGAACCATCACATCAAAACCAGGTTTAAATTCAACTTTTTTAAAGTAGTGTTGACAATTTACCCAAAGGACTTGTGACTATAGACCCAAAGGAGTGAGCATGAGAGAAAGACAACTTTTTTAGGCACTCAAGACACTTTGCAAACAGACAAATAAAAAATACAATAAAGAGCTAAAAGTTTATCTGAGAATTAAACACATTCCCGCTCTTATAGACAGCAAAGAGGCTGTAATCAGTTGCATTGTCTCAGAACAGAAGGACAATGTGGCCATTTAACTCTGGAGAATAAGATCTCATAAATTGGTGTGGGCCTCGTCATGTCATCCTGGACGAGGCCACTTGGTGCATGATGAGTCGTTTGGATGTTTTTGTAAATGACATTGTTGGTGTGCACAGGAGAGTAAACTAACCAGCAGCTGGACACTTATAATTCCTATCTCGCACTGTGTAATTTGTGCAGTCAACAGAATCTAAGTACCCAATCCTAGGATTGTTTCCTGCTTGTATTATCACCTCTTTAGCCACACTTCCACAGAAACCTGGGAGATCGCAGTCACAATAACACGCACAAGACTGTCCAAACCCATAATCCAGGATTTCTTACTGATTTCCGACTGAATAACTCTATAAAATGGACACCTGCCACTGGAACACACATTCGTCACTTGTGCAAGAAACTCAGGCACAATCGTTCAGCAGTCACGGCCAGTTGCCTGTAGAGAGGGGGTTCAGCGAGCAGCCAAACGGTAAAGTTATTTGTTCTTGTCATCAAACTAAACTTTATTATGACCCCTTTCGGGCTGTTGTTGCACCGGTTGCGATTCTCCCACACCAGATATTGTCTTTGAGACTGCCCATGAATCTCCAGGGGTTTGCCACTGCACTTCACTGAGCCATAATTCCTTGTTGGCCTTAGAGTGCAAAGGGCCAGAAATGAAGCACGAGAGGATGAGGCAACAATGGATATGAGGATAAGCTAAAACTACAGAATAGACAAGGATGTTAGTCGTAGTTTTAATTTGACAAAAATATACTACAAAAAAAGAAGATGTCCATGACCTGAATTTAACATGTTGTATATTAGAGTTCTATGCAGTTGACAACATTTATTTTCACAGCAGAGCAGTAAAAGGGGTTCTCGGAGCTAAATACAGTAGTTCACTATATGATTACGGCTTAGAAGGTTGCCCACACTCTCTACTCTGTGGTCTCTGGAGAAGTGAGTCCCAAGTGTGAGCCAAGGTGAAAGCCTTCTTTTCTCTGTCAGAGAGCAGATACACTGTAAATTAAACTGGATGCAAAGGTCTACAAATGAATGTAAGCCCCTATCACCAAACACATGCAACTTTGACACTTGCTTTATCAAACATCAGAACCCTTCACTGCTTGCCTGAACAGGCCATAACCAGTACGTACACACCCTTACAGCTTTCTGTTTTTTGCTGTATGTACTTGAATCAACTCATGCACGCGATAAATGCGCAGCTGCAAGACACAGAGGTGGATTAAGGGAAGTCTCCCCCTGTCTCCTCCTGAAGCACAACTAAAACTCACTAAATTAAATCCCTTGCATTAATATTGCATGTTGGTTGTGCCCCAAAATAAAATGTTGTGAATAAATCAAACAGACCAAAGCACAACCAGCCGTCTGTTTTAATTTTTGACACATGACACATGATGACATGACTTAAGATAGAGCCTTGTGAGTCATTTTTTGACTTTTTGGGCTCAGAGTGGATTTTCTGAGCCAATCTAAAGATGTATTGATTTCTTCTTCCTAAGAGGGGCCTGGCAGAAAATAACTGAATAGCCCCGTTTTGACGCTGCAAAGCAATTTATATTTGAAGTGCTAAGCGTCTACACAAAGATGGAAAACCATGTAGTTCGAACGCCAGTAGTGGGCAGTGGAACTTTACAACTCAACACCCCAGTAGTAGAACCACTTCCTCAACAAAATCCTCCTCAGGCCACTGCAAAGATGTAAAAGAATGCACCAACATCATTCTGCATATAACTGCAGCTGCGAGATGGAAATTGAAACTACAGCTTCACGTTGGTTTCATTTGTTCTCGGCTACTGTGCATGTCCAAATGTAAGAGCGGAGAAGTGGAGGTCATCGCAACAGAGAATTCACAAATTTTTCTTCCCACAGCTGTGAAACATCCCCCCGCTGAGCAGCGTATCTCTTCAGTTCCACTCTGGAGGCTGTTTCTCAATGCTTGCGTTTTCGTCCACTTGAAACAGAGTCTTCATGTAAACAAAAGCCAATCCGATACCCAACACTAATGTTTTACTGTCGCAGCGTCCTCGTGTAAAAAGCACATAAAAGCACTGCCCTAGAGCCTGGATCCATTCCACAAATCTGCAAAAATGGGGTTGTTTATTTATTTCATTTCTATCATGGGAGTAAGTTTAGCCTTTTCTCTTGATGCCGATGGAGAGATGTGACTGGTCTGAACAGTGTCTTTCACTGTTCCTGAGTTTTCAACTTCACTGACCCCACATTAACATAACACAAAAGCCTTTACGCTCATAAAATAGAAATGTCTTGTTCAGAAAGTGTTTGTGGATCATTAAGATGCACCACTGTTACAAAAACATTAGCATTGGAGGATACACCTCAGACAAAAAGAGTCTGTTTTCATAGCCAAGGGTTCTTGAAAGAGACAATGCGGT